ATCACAAAAAGGCAGTGCTATCCAACTATTGTTGTTTTTGGTGGGATGGGGGGGGGGGGGGGGGGGAAAAAAAAGAAAAATAAAAAAATAGGAAAAAAAAAAAAAAGAGGAGGAAACCAATAACAATGTCAACACAATTGTAGCACAACTACTTAAGTGGTAGAATAGGGGCTGTTTGGTAAGCGCACATTAAGTGCTTTTTCTTTTCTTTTTTTTGGGTCCGGAAACAAGTTTTTTCATTTAAAACGTCCATAAGGAATGAAACAAATACATACAAAGAGATTATCCTATTCCCGTTCTAACTTCATCCCTTAGTAGCTGGTCCAGCCTTGGAGGTGGAGATGTGGTCCACATAGACGTTAGTGCTCCTTCTCTGGTTTGAGTAGCTACTTCTTGCGCAGGAACGGCCTAACCTAGTTTGGGACCTAGGTAAAAATATTATACGAAGTTCTATAAATATTTATTCCGTAATAATAGTAATATTAAATATTTATTACAATATTTTTATTTACAAATAATTTTTTTTTCTTTTGAGATATAACATACTAATTCAAATTTTAAATTTGACAAATAAAAATTATGTTATTTGAAGTCAAATACGAAGATCAAACACCATACATACTATTTATTTAAGATAAAAGAGAAATATAAATGAAAATTAATTTGACTAGTAAAATAATTTTTTTTCTAAATGTATATAAAAATAGGAATTAATATAAGTTGAGTAGTTCTAAAAGAAATGATACATCTATAATTTATAATATAAAATAGGACAAATTTCAATAAGTTCATTCGACTGTCTCAAATAGATTTATTCAATGACCACCAACATCTCTATCAAAATCATTCAAATTGTAGTTTTCCCCTAAATTCATCACTTCTCACTTATGTCTCATCGTGTCTTCATGCACAGATTACTGTAATTGTTAGATATCATAGAGAAAAATAATTATTTTTAAATAAAAAAGATAGTCAGTGCACTACTTCTACTTATTCTATTTTATAGATATCTTGTGTATTGTAAACAAAGTTATTAAAAAATGACCTCAAATTTAATTTATACGATAGTCAGTTGATTTTAATAATAAGATTGTAAAGTGATAATATATATAATATTAATATGAGGTAAGNGAAAGGCGAAACAAAATAAAAAGAGGATCCCACCTGCTTCCCTGTGTATTAATTTATTTCTCTAATTTCACTATCCTTACCTAATATGAAATCTGGGCTACGTAAAAGAAACTCATTACAAATCAAGCAAGTTACAAAAGATTACTTCAGTTGCCAGCAGGTTTACAGTTAAGAAAATGCCACAGTTAGATATCATACTGACCAGTGACACTTGGAGTAGGTCTCTCTTTCCATGGCAGCAGCATAAACAACCTACCTACTGTCAGTAGCCAAAAAAAGAACAGAAATGTAATCTGATCTACGAGAATCATCACTGCAGACTGATTTCTCAATCATTTGGGTGTACATACTCCTTGCAGTGTGTAATCCCTGTGCTCTGTTAAAATTCCAAAGTCGCCAACAAATAAAGAGAAACTATTTAAAGGACTCCAATTGGCAATGACAATCATGATTCAAAGTCGCAAAGTCATGATATTGGTCATCGGAGGGCACTGATACATTGGTCGATGCGTCACAATGTAATATCGGCCGATACGCTTAAAACGCTAGATAGAAGTTCCAAAAAATTTTAAAAAATATAAATATCATCATCTATATATCATATGCCCACAATAAATTCAAAAACACANGATTGGCAATGACAATCATGATTCAAAGTCGCAAAGTCATGATATTGGTCATCGGAGGGCACTGATACACATTGGTCGATGCGTCACAATGTAATATCGGCCGATACGCTTAAAACGCTAGATAGAAGTTCCAAAAAATTTTGAAAAATATAAATATCATCATCTATATATCATATGCCCACAATAAATTCAAAAACACATTAAACATAATTAAAATAAATCATAAGAGCGTTACCGAAAATATTAGTCATTATCAATATTCAACTTATTGAAATTAAAATATTGATATATCTAATTATTACATTAGATCTAAAAAGTACTGATGTTTTTTAGGATTAAAAAATTTTTGATATTTTTTATTTTTAAAAAATATTGATGTATCTAATCATTACATTAAATATTTTAATGATTTATTAAAGAGTAAAAATTTACTCCAAGTAAACTTTGGCAAAAAGTAAACCCAAAAATCTATCACCTATAAATAAAATAAATTAATCACACTAAAAATAAATTAAGAAAATAAAAAAAAACAATTGAGTCTACATTTTTCACTCTACAGTNAAGAAAACAAGCAGACGATCACTTTTCTAATGATCTATACCACCATTTATTATGGAGACAGGAGAGATACCCTTCTGGTTATTCAAATGGGAAGAAAACGAAATGTCAGCTGTAAACTTAAACCAAACATTAATAATATAATGCCTGTCAAGCAAGCAAAATTTGTATCATACCCTTCAGAAACGTGATCTCCTATACGCAATTAAGAAAGGCGAAACAAAATAAAAAGAGGATCCCACCTGCTTCCCTGTGTATTAATTTATTTCTCTAATTTCACTATCCTTACCTAATATGAAATCTGGGCTACGTAAAAGAAACTCATTACAAATCAAGNTCTTAATGATCTTGTAAATATTTCCTGAACACAACCATGCAAGTAATTTGCTATCCACTTCTTTTTTTTTTCGTTTTTCTCTCGTTGCTAATAATGAAAAGCAAAGGCCAATTCTTATTAAAGCCATTTTTTTTTATTTTTAGAACTTCTTGCTCTTTGATTCTTATAATTTATTCTTTTTGAAAATAAAATTTTGTTTTTTTAAAAAAGATGTGAAATTTATTAATTGTGTTATTTTTTCTTTGAACAAAGGTATTATTAGTGTACAAGTGAAAATTTTATTGGAATATCATTTTTTATGAATTATTTTTTAAAAAAAATGAACTTTTTTGCGACGAAATTAAAATCTTAGCGAAAAATTATAAGAATAACTTTTTTTCACGACGTTTTTTATACGTCGCAAAATATATTTATTCAATTATTATTTACATTTTTAATTTATGAAAAACCTATTTGCGACGATTGTTTTACGTCGCGAAAACTTAATTAGATTATTATTTACATTTTACATTTATGTAAAAACCTATTTGCAACGATTTTTTTACGTCACGAAAAATTAATTCAATTTTATTTATTATATTTTTTTGTAAAAAAATATTCGGGACGATTTTTTTACGTCTCAAAAAATTAATTAAATTATTATTTTTTACATTTTTATTTATGAAAAAATTATTTGCGATAATTTTTGTACGTCGCTAAAAATTAATTAAATTATTTTTTCACATTTTTTATTTATGTAAAAAAGTATTTGCGACGATTTGTTTACATCGCAAAAAATTAATTAAACTATTATTTTTTTTATTAAAAAATTATTCGCGACGTTTTTTTACGTTGCAAAAAATTAATTAAACTATTATTTTTTACATTTTTATTTATGTAAAAAATTATTCGCGACGATTTTTGTTCGTCGCAAAAAATTAATTAAATTATTATTTATTATTTTTTAAGGTGGTCGAATAAATTTTAGCTACGTTTTTTTAATTTTAGCGACATTTTTTTTTGTCGCAAATAATTTTTTTTTTGCGATAAACATAAATTTGCGCCGCAAAAATGCTTTCTACAATGAGACTATTGCGACGAAGACGTGACGAAAAAAAAAAAGTCTGCAAAAAATAATTGGCGATGATTTTTTTTTAATTTAGCAACAAAAAAAATTGTTACAAAAAACGATTTTTATTGCAGTGAGAGAGAATATGAGAGNTTGTCGCAAATAACTTTTTTTGCGATAAACATAAATTTGCGCCACAAAATGCTTTCTACAATGAGACTATTGCGACGAAGACGTGACGAAAAAAAAAAGTCTGCAAAAAATAATTGGCGATGATTTTTTTTTAATTTAGCGACAAAAAAAATTGTTACAAAAAACGATTTTTATTGCAGTGAGAGAGAATATGAGAGTGGATTTGAAGAACCCACCGACAATCACTAGAAGGCAACTAGGGCTTGAGCTATGGGGTTGGTCTTCTACAATTCTACTTCTCTATCTATCGCAACTGGTTCGCAGCAAAGAAAATCAAGAAAAAAAATAGAAAAAGAAGAAGATGAAGTGGTATGGGAATCTCTTTGATATGTATTTAATTCTGCAAATATGTCCTACAAATGCTGACAATCTTTGTGCAATGGGCCTTTGATTTTCGAACTAGTTGAGGGTTTTTAACNTGGTATGGGAATCTCTTTGATATGTATTTAATTCTACAAATATGTCCTACAATTGCTGACAATCTTTGTGCAATGGGCCTTTGATTTTCGAACTAGTTGAGGGTTTTTAACCTTTTAACAGATATAGGTCTTGAAGTTCTTTATTTTTTTTCTTTTTTTATTTTAGATTATTGCTATTTGTTCGAGATTTTAGGAATTTTTCACAAAAATTTGATCATACCGGACCGATTCTACTATGAATCGTCAAATTCATACCTAGTTGCTCCAATTTGTGCCGATACATCCGAGTCTGACCGAAATATTGTGCGAGTCAAGTAAAAATTAGAATTTTTGCATAACGTGTATCGATAGCGAAGAGGTAAGAGCCAAGTTGGATACGANTTTTTTTTTATTTTAGATTCTTGCTATTTGTTCGAGATTTTAGGAATTTTTCACAAAAATTTGATCATACCAGACCGATTCCACTATGAATCGTCAAATTCATACCTAGTTGCTCCAATTTGTGCCGATACATCCGAGTCTGACCCGATACATCCGAGTCTGACTGAAATATTGTGCGAGTCAAGTAAAAATCAGAATTTTTGCATAACGTGTATCGATAGCGAAGAGGTAAGAGCCAAGTTGGATACGACTCAGCATCGGCCAATACTTTGGACCATAATGACAATAATACCTAAGGATGATTCTCAAATACAAAGTGCACCCACATCAGGCAGTCCTCCATCAGATCCTTGAGGTTTCACAGCAACCGGTCCACCTTTCTTCCCTTGCTTTTTATCTTTTCGAACCTAGCCATTGTCAAATGTTTGGTTGCTGATACACCACCATCACCATTTTAGAGAAAGAAAATAAACAATATTTTTGTGATTAACTTAAAGTAGAAGCAAACCAAAAAAGTGTTTATAAAGAGAGAGAGAGAATGGTCTTCTGGTCAAGTCAAACGTTTTACCTTCATAAAGTGAACTAAAGAAGGAAAACTACATAGTAACAATGTGATCTGAACTAAAACTAGATAGCCCATGCCATTCTATCATATGACTACGCATTTCATGTAAATCACCATTTTAAATTTGTTTCCTATGCCACTTACAAGCAAAAGAGAATAGGCATGATATTAAGTCTAGGATGACAGTCCATTGTCTATAGATAGTAGAACAGAATGTGTCTATTTTACCAGTATTCAACAAATTTCTCTAAATAACCGACTTAAGTAAGATTTTGCCAAAACAAATTTTGAACTAAAAACATTCTTTTATGGTTGAAAGAAAAAGGCTTAAATTGACACACAAAGCGAGAGTCTTCATGAGGCATACACTGCAAATCTACTAGCAGATCTTCCCGCAGCTGATCCACAACAAGACTTGTATTTCTTCTTTGAGCCACATGGACAAACCTTGTTTCTGGGGATTTTCTGTTTTAGTAGAAAACACAACAAAACCAAACATTAATCTAACACCAAAGTAAAATAATGGAGGAAAAAAGGGCTTCTGACTTGAATACATATGTTCACACATGTATATACCTTTTCATCTTGTAGCGAGCTGTTATATCATGAGCTATTTCTAGATTATTGCAAGATGGGTCATGTTTGCATTTTTTGTCTTCAAGCTCTTCTGCATGCCGCTGAGAGTTCTCATTTTGACCACCACCTGGACAAACAAGAATAATAAGCAACATGAGAAAAGTAGAAAACTTTGCCTACAAGAGCAATAACAAGAAAGCACTTCAATTTCAGACTTGACAAGAAATAAGAACAAAAGAAGTAATAACATGTGCATTCAAAGGAATCCAGAATTCTGAAACAATGCAGCCCACCAATCTTCCTGTTAAGAACCTTTAATTGTGAGAAATGAGAAAATAGAATTCTTCAATCTTCCTGTTGACAATTTTTAATTGAAAGAAATTGGAGAATTCTTCAACTTCACAGTGGGAGGAATATGTATTTATTATATTGTCACGTACACGTACTGCCGTCTTGTTCTTATATCAAGGGAAAGAAGAGATTGCCAGCACAACTCAGCCTCATCCCAAACTAACTGAACTGGTTCATAAGAGAGAATTCGAGAGAGAAAATAAGTAATAGAACTGTACCAATGAAAAGTGGCATACATCCCCAAAAGTGAGACAAAGAAGAATTCACCATTCTTCAAGGGGCCAAAAAAAAAAAAGCTTGTGGCATTCAAGATAATAACTAACTCATCCATCAGCTAAGCTAAAAGTTCTAAGGGTCCAACCCTACAGCAGATCGAACACAACGACCTTACAAAGGAAAACAATCTATCTATTAAGTCACCAGTCCAACATCTGAAAGAGCAAGGGCTGCATGCATACTCCAAGATAGACGTTGAGGACCATTTGTCTTAGTTTTGGACGATATCAAATACATTTTTCTTTTCTATTTTTTTTTTTTTTTGTTTGGTTTTTGTACAAGCAGACCACAACAGATTTCTAAGGTAGAAGTCCACATTTCTGTGCTAAGAGTTATACCTAAGTTCAGAGACTAAAAGCTATTGCGATTTGTGAGAACTGAAAAAGGTGTTGAATTTAGGAAAGAAATTCAGGAATTGCTGAAGGGGTCCTACAACTAAAAGAATTGAAAGAAGAAAAAAAACAACTGAATGANATTCTTCAATCTTCCTGTTGACAATTTTTAATTGAAAGAAATTGGAGAATTGACTTCAACTTCACAGTGGGAGGAATATGTATTTATTATATTGTCACGTACACGTACTGNTTTCTTCAATCTTCCTGTTGACAATTTTTAATTGAAAGAAATTGGAGAATTCTTCAACTTCACAGTGGGAGGAATATGTATTTATTATATTGTCACGTACACGTACTGCCGTCTTGTTCTTATATCAAGGGAAAGAAGAGATTGCCAGCACAACTCAGCCTCATCCCAAACTAACTGAACTGGTTCATAAGAGAGAATTCGAGAGAGAAAATAAGTAATAGAACTGTACCAATGAAAAGTGGCATACATCCCCAAAAGTGAGACAAAGAAGAATTCACCATTCTTCAAGGGGCCAAAAAAAAAAAGCTTGTGGCATTCAAGATAATAACTAACTCATCCATCAGCTAAGCTAAAAGTTCTAAGGGTCCAACCCTACAGCAGATCGAACACAACGACCTTACAAAGGAAAACAATCTATCTATTAAGTCACCAGTCCAACATCTGAAAGAGCAAGGGCTGCATGCATACTCCAAGATAGACGTTGAGGACCATTTGTCTTAGTTTTGGACGATATCAAATACATTTTTCTTTTCTATTTTTTTTTTTTTTTGTTTGGTTTTTGTACAAGCAGACCACAACAGATTTCTAAGGTAGAAGTCCACATTTCTGTGCTAAGAGTTATACCTAAGTTCAGAGACTAAAAGTTATTGCGATTTGTGAGAACTGAAAAAGGTGTTGAATTTAGGAAAGAAATTCAGGAAATGCTGAAGGGGTCCTACAACTAAAAGAATTGAAAGAAGAAAAAAAACAACTGAATGATATAAAGCATAACTGACAGAGGGCAAAAATTCTAAAGGTAATTGTCGAATGAGAAAGCACCCCAATCAGCTAAGAATATTTTTGAGCTTGCTGATACGGGCTGTCATAAGCTATCACATGCGTCTAGCAGTACCAATTGACAATATCAAAAGACAGAGAACTCCTCCATGAATCTTTAGTTCTGTTCTAGCCCACTTGAAACCATAAAGTAAGCATCCTCGCACACAACTACACTCAACAAATGACCCAAGTCAAATCCTCTAAACAAGCCATGAAAGCCTTCCTCGCTAGTGAACATTATATTATGACTTCACACTATTCCTCGCATGTCTGACATTAATGTCGCCTAGCTGCCTATAAGAAGAGATTATGAAAAAGAATTAGACCTTGCATTAGTTCAGGAATCCAGACAAAAATTTCATCTCGCTAGCAATTGGTCTACAAATACAGTCTTTACATAGGATGCATATAACATGCTCATACTACAGGTTTGGAGCTTCCTGAAATAGCTAGGCTAGTCCCTTAATTTAGTATAGTAGGGTGGAGTACAGTATAAGAGTATGTAATATAGTAAATAACAACATTTTTAAGTAAAAGAGTTCTAGTCTACGACAATCCCTTAATTGATTTCCTTGTTAAATATCTTCCCCGAACTCCTTCTAATGACCTATGCATTTACTGTTTCCAGTTGGACGAGCCATTCATCCACTCTTTCCATTTTTTTAAGGTGTTCACTCTTTACTTTTTTAGGGGCTTGGAGCAGATGAAGTCTTCCTTCTTTTATTTCTTCTTAGTCCGTTTGGTTCCTGATCTTAAGCTCGTTTTGGGGGAAATTAAAAAAAATATAAAAACATAAAAGTTTTCAATCTTATTCCTTACTTTTCTAACTAATGAGACCTGGATGGTCATTTATTGACATTAATGTTGTTTCCCGCCCATGAGTTTGTTAAATGAGAAGAACAGCAGATGAAGCGTGATCCCCGTGACCTCCTCCATCCCCAGTAGGGAGGCATGGACTTGCAGGTTGGATCCCATGTCATCCGACGCCCTGTTTGTCTCACCCAATTCAATTCAATAGAGGACTTCACCATTCTTGCGATTCCCAACTCTCTGGGCGATTCTGTAACCACAAGCAGCCCAATCGCCTAAATGATGGCCTCGCATGAGATCGCATAAGACCATGTTGATTATGAAGCAGGGGATGCGAACATAGCGGCCCTAAAATACCTCCTGAGCAATCTTAAAGGTGAAGGACATCCATTAGTGCAGTCCTCAGATTTTCCTCATTTAATTTGCCAACAAATTAAATGCCGCAAAAACTTTTTCAGGTAAGAATAATAATCTGGACTGGAGCCCTTAAGAAGAAAAAAAAGGATCCACAGGCCAAGGTAAATGCTGATAAGTATCTGAGACATATGGTTTCACAGAATGTATAGCTGACCCTTAACTCTCTTTATGTCTGGCAGAGCATACAGACGAGTAAGGATACCTTGGACAAGGGGAAGCAAATACATTGAAATGGATGAAAGATTACATGATAGGAAAATCTGAAGGAAAAGGAGCTTTAATAGAAACAATTGAAAATAATCCTCCAGACCTAGGTAAACGGTATAAGAGGAAAATGTCAATGTAAACAGCAACCAGATAAACTGTCTAGAATGTGAAAACGTACTGACCAGCCGTTACCATGAGAAATATCTGCTGAAGAAGGAACACTATCACTTTCAGATAAATATTCTTCTGTTCCTTGTTCTGCTATGAGGAACTCAATTGCAGCATCAACAACACCACCACTTGAAGTAAAACCTGGAACAAATCCATATGAAAACAAAAACTTCTTCAGAAGCTCCATGTGGCAAAAGACCACAGCCACGAAGAGGATCAGCAGAGTTACAACACCCTGCAACTTTGGAGACTGTAAAGAGAAGGAAAGACAACAAACTGCCACTTCTTTAGCAGGTATCACCTGTTCAACTTTTTCTGCATTTTCACATCCACTTCTACCCATGACCGTTTTGATAGATCCTGCCTGGATGATATTCTTCCCAGCTCCCCCTTTAGAAGTGGTGACAGCATATTTTGCTTGATTAGATTTTGCTGAAAGATCAGCATCAGCCTTTACATAACTAGAAGTTATTAGGCTCTACTGCCAATTAGATGTCCAAAATTACAAGTACCTAAATGGCTGTGACAAGGAATCTCAAATCTAAAACTGAATATAGCAATAATAATGGCACAAACCTTGATTACAATTGACCTAGCTGGTCCACTACAAGTGTCTTCCTTCAACCACACACTATTGTAATGCTCCCCATCATGATAAGATCTGCAGAACAACGAAGCAAGTCATAGAATAAACCAAATGAATGAGTCCACTGACATCTAATATACTGAGAACATTATTTATAAAATAAATGAATGAATGTCTACTGACATCTATATGTACATATATGATTTATGTGTGTGTGCCTACAAGTTAAATATATACTGTTTGACATCTAACAGCTTAAGCTTATGTTATGGTCAACCTGTATGGTATAACAGTTTTAGTAGTGTGAAGATTTGGCTTCGTAAGTCTCTTTCCATGCGCTTGCAGCACATTGTGCCAATTAGCTTGTACTTCATTTTTCTGTCTATTCATTCCCCTACCTGTAAGACAGGGTTTCAAAGCTTGATCTTCCAGTATTTGACCCATTCCCTAAAAGTTTAAGCTGTTGGGCCATTAGTTGTCCAGCACCAACATCGATTCAACTTGAAGCTTAAACCAAGCAGGATAACTCTAAACCATAAAGCTAGAGGTGTTACCAAAGAAGTCTAAACCATCTAAGATGAAGTTTATTGCAGCCAAGTGTTGCAGGCGATAATTGGATACCCTGATTTGGCAGCGCCAGCGATGTGTGTCTTGGAGAGGCAAGCACGGGTGCATACCCACTTGCATTAGCACGTGAATATATCTAAACTCAAGCACAGACCCATCCTGCACCAGGTCTGCACTCCGCAGTAAAGTAACCAAAATACTTCGAGCCAGACCATATGATGCATATTTGTTACCTTATTTCTGTTGCTATCACATAATAATCAATTGACGAATGAGTAAGTTGCTTCAAAATGTCAATCCATTGTTATCCTACGTATACATGCACGTGTATGTAGCAGTCTCTGACAATAATATGAATTAGCAAAGCCACATCAATCCCCTAAAAAATTCAGGGTTGATACTCCACTAATGCCAAGTTTGCAACCTTAACATAGATGACCACACATCAGATCACAAAATGAAAAAGTAAAAGATTTCTGTCAGCGCCCTTGTCAATCATTAGTCTATTGTCAGAAATAAGTTAAAGCATCTCAGCTAGTTTTTTATATTTGTGTCCTTAAACAAGAGAAACGTAAATGTTTGCTCTTGTCCAAAGAGATATTAGTGACCAACACAAAACAAACCACGACAGTTATAAACAATACTTAAGCTTCCAAACCTGTCCTTAATGGTCCGTCGTTTCACTTAAAAAGTTCTTGGGGACAATTTATTAATGGTTAGCAAAATGTTGCCAATGGATGCAGAACCAGACAATCAATTTCTTTTTTCTCTTTATTTCTTTCTTTCTTCCTTTTATTTTCGGGCTGACTAGCCAGGATATAATTACTGCCAGGTGACCTGGCCCTGCCTTAGCTTTCCGTACTTAGATCATTACATCCCAATATGGAGAGTGGATGGTTGCAGGACACAGTGTACTAGAGGATAAAGACTGATTTCCAATGACAGTATTGTATGTCATACATATCCTCCATGTGGATTCTGAAGACATTGGTGAGTTTTCAAATCCTAGTAGCATAGCTTGAGTGCTTTGGTATCCTACGAGGTTTTTTTCTTTTCTTGAGTTCTTGCATTCTGCTAGAACTTGGAAACAACTCACTGCTTGGTAAGCTGTAGTATATTCCAGTAATTACCTTTTTTTGTCACTCCAATGCAACAATTGGCTGAGAAAGAATAATATGATCCTTTCCTTAACAACTAAACTAAATAGGATAGTATACCATGTCAATAGATGAGCTCTTCTCTTGCATGCTTTAATAACCTTTTCTCGTTGAACAAAAGAAAGAAAAGGTGTCCTTGTTCCTCGCAATTCAATATGATAAAAGAAATTCCCAATCCTTAAATGCTTCATAAACACAACAATTAAACAGCTTAGACACCGTCTAAATGTCAGTTAATCTTTTTACTTGCATTTGTTATAAAGGACCCAGCTTCAAGTAAATTGATTTTTCCACACAAAATATACGGTAGCAGGCAGCAAGGTTTTCTTCGTATGACCTCCCATCCACTACTAACTAATATAANTATAAAGGACCCAGCTTCAAGTAAATTGATTTTTCCACACAAAATATACAGTAGCAGGCAGCAAGGTTTTCTTCGTATGACCTCCCATCCACTACTAACTAATATAACTGAAAACATCAATGAATATGGTGACTACTAGCACCACTTGGGATTTGTTAGTGTAGTTACAAATGGGTCATCCATTTCATCCTGATATGCAAGCTATGATCCTAAATTCTTCAACCCATGTGAATACTACAACAACTTGGAAGTTTAAAAAACTTACAGATGGATCGTCTGCGCTTCAAGGTTACCAAAATTCTGTATGTACCAGCTAGGAGATGTATGCTGTTACAGAAAATAAGGCAAAGGACCAACCAACATATTATTTATAAAGCATTAAGATACAGAAAGTAGTACCACAGAGACACCTTTATACCACAGAAATTTGCCTCACTTTGCGTACAGCCCTCAATATCCTAGAAGTCTAAAAAAACCTGCAAACCAAATAGAAGGGGAAAAGGACTCACTCGGTGTATGCATATATTACAACGCGTAACAAGAGAAGCAGCTTGCAACTCCATATGTCCAGCCCATGTGCCATCTTTTTCCATGGACTGACAATATTCATCAAACGGTACCCCATCTTCAATAAAAGGTTCAAAAATTTCATGATTCTTCTGTTCAATATAAATTCAGATCAGGCCTAGTTTAAAAGGTGGGTTTTGAAATAAGAAAGTACAGACACAATGAAAAAGCAGAAATAAGAAAATTTGCAATGGGAAATACTTTCCAAACCGTACAGGTTTTTTTTTTTTGCAAAACACCAATGAATAGAAAATGCAACCCAAGAAAAGGAAATACACCCAAGCCTCAATTAAAAAGGGTCAGTAACCACTGTTAGCAATCCCGAGCCTCAATGGGAGTAAAATATCAGCTCGGTTTCCATGCATTGCAGCTCAAGGTGATAAATTACAAAGTAGAGCAGCATAACATTCATTAATCCCAGGGACAAGAGGACAATGACAACAAAGGGGGAAAAAAAAGCCTTTACAAGAGACAAATCCCGGGGTGGCTCTAGACAACCACAATTGCCGATTGCTGGTAACAATGCGTCATAACCATTCAAGGGCAGAACTACACGGGCATGGCGCCATTAAAATTTTGAGAACCGTCTTTCATATATAGCCGTAACTGCCCAACATGATAACCTTCACAAAATGATGAAGTTATGAAAAATAAATAGAATAAAATCCACATAACATCTTCTAATAGATAGAGATATCACTTGAAACCAACGGGGAACATCTCGTGTAGACAACTTTATACCAAACAAAAGTCAATCCTCACAAACAAAACAAGAAAACTATGCTAAATAGAGCAGGAGCTCCAAATACCCAAAAGAACAACATACAACAAAACCCCAAAGCTCACCAAACAATCAAGAATCAACAAAAGACACCCAACTCTTTTCCCAGACAAACCGACAAAATAGAAGTCATGAAATTTCACTTCAAGTTCAAGATTGATGTCTCCACCATAGTTATTAATATCGTACGATACGCGATACGTATCGTACAATATGTCACGATAAACCTGAAAAACGATACGTATCGTGTCTCTATATCGTTTTTACATCGTATCATACGATACACGATACGATACGTACGATACATGACGATTCTGTTTTTTTTTTNTGCGATACGTATCGTACAATATGTCACGATAAACCTGAAAAACGATACGTATCGTGTCTCTATCTCGTTTTTACATTGTATCATACGATACACGATACGATACGTACGATACATGACGATTCTGTTTTTTTTTTTTTAAGTTGAAATGACATCGTTTTACCCTATGACTTATTTTTAAATTACTAGCTAGTGAAACAACGTCGTTTCAGTGGTTATGGTTTAAAAAAAATAAAATAAAGTATGTTATTAATATTGTTCAACTGAATTCAAAATTCCTGATTAATATTAAGATTGTTCAAGCAGTTGATATTAAAAGTTTAAATTAGAGATCTTTGCATATTGATATTACTGAACTATGTTGGAAACTTGAATAGTTGGTGGAATATTAATGAAATGTTATGTTATTATGAATCTGACTTTTTTACAAAGGTATATACATATATTTTATTAATAATTATTTAAAAATTAAAATTACGCGTATCTTATGATACACGATACGCGATACGATACGTTACACTATTTTTAAAAAACAATACGCCTTCCGATACACGATTTGACAACTATGGTCTCCACAAATTCGAAGTGCCTCAGGTTAAACTCCAACAAAATACTTTGCCACAAACAAAAGGGGACTGCCACCCAACCCTTTGGGCCTTCTCTCCTATGACAACCTTTCTTCCAATTACGTGACAAATCCAAACTCACTTAAACCCAATGCACTCAAAATAAAGATAAAACCACAACCCAAATTTTTCAATAAGCGAAAAACAACCATATAACTCATAAAACAAAATAGAACACAAACATTGTTTCTTAATAAAATTTATAAAGGCGCTAACATAAAATGTAAGTCTCAGCCCCCAAGCATGAGCATCATATTATCTAAAGAAAATTACACCTAAACTGCTTGAAGTTTGTCACTTAATCACATAGGTCCCTTAACAATTGAAATATTACACACAAACCCCCTAAGGTTTGTACACGCATAACACTTATATTCCTGCCGTCAATATCTGTTAGAATCGTAACACTTAAACCCCTGCCATCAATGTCTGTTAGAATATCCGTTAGTAAATTACACTTAGACTCCCTTAGGGAGTCTGTATGTAATATTTCAAATGTCACGGGTCTAAGTGATTAAGTGACAAACCTTAGAAAGTCTGGGTGTAATTCTCCCTATTATCTAAGATCTCCTACAAAGTCTACTCGAAAAAGCCTTAAGCACAACACAAGAAAAATGATATCCGGAAGTCCATCCTTTCCCTAATACTGTTTAAAATTATCTTACATGATAAACACTATTGTTGCAATGGAGAGTGATAAATACCATTGTAATTCGACTAATAACATTAAAACCATCTTGTTAAACTTGGAGGATTAAAATAATATTAGAGACAAAGAGAGAGGTTAAAAACTTAACCTACCTCTCATATAGCACACTTGTATTTATAGTTAACATACAATAATAAAAATTACACATGCATCCTCTTACTATTAATAATTTACACATATTACCTTACTATTCTTAACACTCTCCCTCACGCTGGACTATATATATCATATAATCCAAGCTTGAAACAAATAGCTGTAAAACGTGTATGACTCAATACTTTGGTAAACATATCTGCAAGCTGATCTTCAGATTTCACAAATAGAGTTGTAATCTCCTCAGTTACTATTTTGTCCCGAATAAAGTGACAATCAACCTCAATATACTTGGTTCTCTCGTGAAACACAGGATTGACAGCGATATGGATAGCTGTCTGGTTGTTACAGAACAACAGTAAAGGAAGTTGAACTGGAAACCCAATTTCCTAAAGGAAGTGTAGTAGCCAAGTCAATTCACTCGTCGTATGTGTCATTACCCTATACTCAATCTCGGGACTGGATCTTGCTACCACGGGTTGTTTCTTACTTTTTCATGAGACAAAATTACCTCCTAAGAAAGTACAATAATCAGTGGTTGATCTCTGATCAGAAGAAGAGCCAGCCCAATCAGCATCTGAGAAACCTTCTACTCTAAGATGTCCATTAGCTTGATATAACANATCTCGGAACTGGATCTTGCTACCACGGGTTGTTTCTTACTTTTTCATGAGAAAAAATTACCTCCTAAGAAAGTACAATAATCAGTGGTTGATCTCTGATCAGAAGAAGAGTCAACCCAATCAGCATCTGAGAAACCTTCTACTCTAAGATGTCCATTAGCTTGATATAACAGTCCAAGTCTAGGAGCTCATTTGAGATATCGCAGAATACGAATAACTATCTCCCAATGTGGTACNTAAGCACAACACAAGAAAAATGATATCCGGAAGTCCATCCTTTCCCTAATACTGTTTAAAATTATCTTACATGATAAACACTATTGTTGCAATGGAGAGTGATAAATACCATTGTAATTCGACTAATAACATTAAAACCATCTTGTTAAACTTGGAGGATTAAAATAATATTAGAGACAAAGAGAGAGGTTAAAAACTTAACCTACCTCTCATATAGCACACTTGTATTTATAGTTAACATACAATAATAAAAATTACACATGCATCCTCTTACTATTAATAATTTACACATATTACCTTACTATTCTTAACACTCTCCCTCACGCTGGACTATATATATCATATAATCCAAGCTTGAAACAAATAGCTGTAAAACGTGTATGACTCAATACTTTGGTAAACATATCTGCAAGCTGATCTTCAGATTTCACAAATAGAGTTGTAATCTCCCCAGTTACTATTTTGTCCCGAATAAAGTGACAATCAACCTCAATATACTTGGTTCTCTCGTGAAACACAGGGTTGACAGCGATATGGATAGCTGTCTGGTTGTTACAGAACAACAGTAAAGGAAGTTGAACTGGAAACCCAATTTCCTAAAGGAAGTGTAGTAGCCAAGTCAACTCACTCGTCGTATGTGCCATTACCCTATACTCAATCTCGGAACTGGATCTTGCTACCACGGGTTGTTTCTTACTTTTTCATGAGAAAAAATTACCTCCTAAGAAAGTACAATAATCAGTGGTTGATCTCTGATCAGAAGAAGAGTCAACCCAATCAGCATCTGAGAAACCTTCTACTCTAAGATGTCCATTAGCTTGATATAACAGTCCAAGTCTAGGAGCTCATTTGAGATATCGCAGAATACGAATAACTATCTCCCAATGTGGTACTTTAGGACATCCCATGAACTGACTTACTATACTGACTGCATAGGAAATATCTGATCGAGTAATAGTGAGATAATTAAGCTTGCCAACCAATCTGCGATACCAACCCAGATTCTCAAACAATGCACCATCATTCATCAATAATTTCTTATTCGGATCCATAGGAACATCAATCGATCTACCACCCAGCAAACCTGCTTCCTCAAGTATGTCAAGTACATATTTCCTCTAGGATAAACAAATACCCTGTTTAGATCGAGCCACCTCAATACCCAAGAAATACCTGAATTTTTTCAAATCCTTAATATGAAATCGATCTTGCAAAAATATTTTTAAATTGGCAATCCCCTCAAAATCATTTCTAGTAATCACAATATCATCTACATAGACCATCNAAATATTTTTAACTTGGCAATCCCCTCAAAATCATTTCTAGTAATCACAATATCATCTACATAGACCATCAATAGGATATATCCAGCATCTGTCTATCTATGAAACACAGAATGATCTGTCTGGCATCGAAGAAAACCAAACTTTAAAACTACATCTAAAAACTTACCAAACCATGCCCTCGATGACTGCTTCAAACCATACAAAGATTTTTTTAACCGACATACACTCTTACCATACTCCCCCTGAGCAGTAAACCCAGGTGGCTATTCCATGTATACCTCTTCAACCAAGTCACTATGTAAGAAAACATTCTTGACGTCTAACTGAAACAAGGGCCAATCAAGATTAGTTGAAAAAGGATCAGATTTATATTCCTCAGCATTATCGGAACGTAAAGTACATATACGGCAACCAAATTGAGTTTTTATTTCTTTACGAAAAGTCTCAAATATAGAGAATAATTCAGACCGAGCTTTTATAAAAAACAACCAAGTCACACTAGAATAGTCATCCACAAATGTCACAAAATAAGGATATTTATTAGATGAAATATTTTTTATTGGACCCCATACATCAAAATGGACTAATTCAAATGGACTAGACATACGATTATTGACTCTGACTCAAATGACACACGGTGATGCTTACTAAGTTGACAAGTTTCACAAGATAAAGACGACACNGAGAATAGTCATCCACAAATGTCACAAGATAAGGATATTTATTAGATGAAATATTTTTTATTGGACCCCATACATCAAAATGGACTTAATTCAAATGGACTAGACATACGATTATTGACTCTGACTCAAATGACACACGGTGATGCTTACTAAGTTGACAAGCTTCACAAGATAAAGACGACACATAACTAAAACTGGGAAATTGGCACTTTGGATTCTAGAGAGAGGGATGTCCAAGACGACAATGCCATTGAAAAGGAGACAACGAGGTTTGTAGAGCCCGGGTAGGTGAATCAAAGTCAAGGTAATANATTGGCACTTTGGATTCTAGAGAGAGGGATGTTCAAGACGACAATGTCATTGAAAAGGAGACAACGAGGTTTGTAGAGCCCGGGTAGGTGAATCAAAGTCAAGGTAATATAGGCCACCAGCTTCATGCCCCGTACCAATCTTCCTCTTCGTCTTAAGATTCTAAAAGACACAATAAGAGGGATAAAAAATTACAGAACAATTGAGAGAACGAGCAATCTTGCTAATAGAAAGTAAACTAAAAGAAAACTGAAGAACAAATAACATAGAAGATAGGGACATATCAGGACTCAAGTGAGTAGTCCCGAAACCTGAAACTTTAGAACAAGTACCATTAGCAAGA